GGTTTTAATACATTTAAAAAATGTATATTTAAAAAGAAATAGTCATTGAACAAATTATCAAACAAAAATACGTCAAAATTTTAGAAAATATTAACAAAATTAGAAGTCCCGCTAAAATGCATAAAAAATCTCTCAGGTTATAAAATTTAAAAACGGTAACTTTAATGTATACATTGTTCTAAGACAAGCAATTTATTCAGCATTATCATACGCTATGCAATTGAGGCAATCTGACTACAAAAATTATGTTAACAACCCTTTTTTGTGGAATTCCATTAAAATGCTACATAACACTAAAAAAAAAAACTTTATTTTCTCCATTTGATTATTATATATGCAATTGATGTTCATGTCTTTGGTGCTGTGTAAAACTATCAAACAAGTAATTATTACTGATTTAAATGTTTAAAATAATTGAATTAATTAAAAAAAAAACAATTGTTTTGAGGACTGTATAGATGTAGATGTTTGAAAGAGAAGAATGTTTGCTTTGATGTGTCTCGTTGTAATAACATAACTTTTCCGATTGCTTATTAATTTGTATCATTGTAATTCTCTGTAATCACAAATTTATTTCAGCTCTACTTAAAAACCCAAATTCCACCCCACCCCCCCCCCCCCACCCACCACGCCGAGGGAAAAAAATCCATTGAATCATCATCTAATTACACATTTGCATTTTCAGGTGTTTTTTTTTTAATGTTTTTAATTTTTTAATATTTAGACGTTTTGTATTAGATCTATGTATAAGTAAACCATCTTAAATGAATGAAAGCAGGCTACAAGTAAGAAAGAAATATTACTATTGTAAATCTGTATCAGTCCTCACAAGCCGATGATGAAAACTGTAATACTAAAGCGAACACACAACTGACGCTGTAAATTACATGTCTGAGGCAGAAAAAAAATACTAAACATTCATTTGAATTGTTGATCGACAGTTCCTTTTTAGTAACGTTCACCATTGTGTTCATGTTATGATTGTTTATGTTAATCTTTGAACTATATTAAAGACTAACACACACGCGCACACAGTTTTTTATGCTGATGTAATTGTTTCTGTTTGAAAATAAAAGTATTATAATAAAAAAAACAGGACAGAAGCGACCGATACACGGTAATCAAACCGATATCCAAGCCAGTTAGTCGGCATTTGCCGTGTTGAGGCCTGACTGGCTAATGGGAGACACCTCCTGAGCCAGTGGTGTCCGTAAAGAAAAAAAAAAGTTAAGAGCCCCTAAAGTGGATTGGGATAGTCCTATATTTGTATTATTTGATAACTAAGTTTATTATAGCATGTGTATTTTTTTTATATGAATGCAAATTATTTCATATTTAAAGCTATTTATTTTAAATAAAAATATTATACTTATTAACGTAATCCTAATCAAATACCAAATATTGAAATAAAATGTTAGTGGCTCTTTAAAAACTGGAATATTTTGTAAATTGTAACTGTAACAGTCAAATGTAAGGTGAATGCATGTTTCGAGTATGTTTCATAATAAACCGGGAGTGATCTCCCCTAAACTTTCTCGAATATTCTTATATAAAATAACAGGGGATGGAAACTCGGGCTATAGACATGATTTTTAATCCATTTTAAATACTTAAAGTTTTAAAAATAGAATAAAATCTCGTAGACAAATTAATTGCACACCAAGTGAACGCAAATAAAAAAAGCGCATAATAGTGCGCAATATTATTAGTACTTTTAAAATTTACATTAGTTTTTTGAGAAATCGGAAGTAGCGTAAATTACTACTTCCAGTCAACGGAAATTACTCAAAATTTAACAGAAGGTAGAGAATTAGATCTTTTACTTACATGTGAAATTTCATTTATCTATCTGAAATAGTACTCAAGTTATAGGCTTTTAAAAAATTCAAAGTAGGAAAAGTACCACTTCCGGTTATCGGAAATCGCTCAAAAGTTGATACGGATCTACGATTTTGATAAAATACTTATATATGAAATTTCATCAACCTAGCTGTAACGGTACTCAAGTTATCGTGTTTACACACGGACAGACACACACACGGACAGACACACACACACACAGACATACGGACAAGATTGCAAAATTATGTTTTTCCGTATCAGTGAGGTGTAAAACGTCGAGATTTGTAAAAATCTCGATTTTTTTTTTGCACGATTACAATACTTTCTCTATACTACGTATATACGAGAAAGTAAAAATGCGATATAAATATAAAATATAGTGTGGGTGTGCGCATGCGCTAAAAAAGGAAGCAAGGGGGTAGAGAGCGGGAAGAAAATGGCGATTTTTCGGCAGTGAAGTCGTTGTATCAATGAACCAATAAAATCATGAAAATTTCCTGAACGTGGGTTGTTTAATGTTATAAATCAGACTATAATATGTAATAACAAAGGAGGAGAGCGATTGGTATTTGTTTTTTTGAGTTTGTGCCATGATAGGCAGCAAAAAAGGCTGTGACAGTAACTTTTGTCTCTTACGTCTCAAAAGGTTTCCGACACCTGATATAAGCTATAATTCTAATTCTCAGTCAATAACCCCCCCCCCTTCCTAGGGCAGGGGTCGGCAACCATCGCCTCGCGGGCCCCATGAGGTTCTTTTGATGTCCAGATGCGGCTCTCCAGCTCCTTGCAAATATTACTAGCTATATTATTTCATTATCAAAACTCACCAAAAAAAAAATACTGTAAAGAAACACAACTTTAAACAAAATAAAACACTCATCAGAGAACAGTGAGAGTAGGTGAGGTAGAAAGTAAATGGACAGCTGACAGCCGCTTGGGCACCAGGCCTAGCCCCACAGCCGCGCTATAGCCAGCCCTTAGCAACAATTCAATGCTTGCCACTGCCCAAGTGCCGAAGTTTTTAATATCGTTAAATGTGGAATGTTATGTTATACATAATACCTTTCTCTATCTGACAGTTATCCTTAATTTGACCTGAGTGACGTAGTTTTTTAGTTATTAGCTTCCAACTGTTGAGTCGGGTACAGGACGGTGGGGTACGAGTTTACCCTGCGTTCAGTGGGGTAGAAGATAAGCCCGGTGAGAACCGAAGGACAGAAGCGACCGTTACACCGTACTCAAACCAATACTTAAGCCAGTTAGTCGGAGTTTGTCGTGTTGAGGCCTGCTTGGTTAATGACAGACACATCCTGAACAGCTGATGTCGATAGAGAAAGAAAAAAAAAGTTAACAGCTTGTGTAACGGACGCCTTCTGTCAGACGCAGAATCGGCGAACGTCCCCAGGTTCGTTTAAAGTAGTCAGACAGAAACCTTTCTCGACAGTATGAGTACACCTACATCTACGTGGGCTTGTCTCAAAAGTCTAGGGGTATTGACACGTAAGATAGATGAAACTCAATTTAGGTTAAACTGACAACTACTATTTTAATTTATGCACAAGAATGTACAATAGTCAATAAGTCAACACCAAAGTAAACTTCATTAAGAGCAATAAAATAAACCATAAAAATATCACTCACAGATAACTCAATGATACTGTAATATCTCTAACAATTAGATATTAAAGTCACAGGTAAAGCCGTGGTGTAATACCACACCTAAATACAATATCATAAACTTGGAATGACCATACAACTTGGTGAAATAACACACCTAAGCAACATCTCATAATCATTTGAATAATCACACAACTTGGTGTAATATCACACTTAAACAATATCATAAGTCCTGGAAAGACCATATACTTGGTGAAATAACACACCTAAGCAATAACTCATTAACACTAGAAAAATCACACAACTTTGTGAAATATCACACCTAAACAATGTATCTTAAACACTGGAGTGATAAACAACTCCTATGGTGAGGAATTAATATATATCACCACGAACTGAAACATTCAACTTAAAACCACACACACACACACCGCACTGTTGCCTCCCGGAGTCTAGGTCAAAGTCCTTCCTTAGAAGTCGTGTCTCGACCTTTTATCAGAGATCAAACCCAAGGGAGGCTACTATAATGTAGCAAGGCCATTGGTCGAGGATCGGTTAAGGATCCGCAATACTAAACAACCATTGGCCGAGGTTCTGACAAGGATTAAAATCCAAGTCACATGCCGTGACTGAGTTCAGTTGACCGCTGCGTACCAATGAACTGATAATTCTCCCAAGGTCAATAATAAAACTCAGGAGACTAAATAATAAAAAGAAATAAATAGACCTAAGTAGGTCACACTTGTAAAGTGGATTGGGATAGTCCGATAGTTACACTATTAGATTGCGCGTTTTGTAGTCGTTGATGACAGATTATGTGTCCAGTGTAGACAACATGTTATGTGTCGAGTGTAGACAACAGGTTATGTGTCGAGTGTAGACAACAGGTTATGTGTCGAGTGTAGACAACAGGTTATGTGTCGAGTGTAGACAACAAGTTATGTGTCGAGTGTAGACAACAGGTTATGTGTCGAGGGTAGACAACATGTTATGTGTCGAGTGTAAACAACAGATTATGTGTCGAGTGTAGACAACAAATTATGTGTCGAGTGTAGACAACAGGTTATGAGTCGAGTGTAGACAACAGGTTATGTGTCGAGTGTAGACAACAGGTTATGAGTCGAGTGTAGACAACAAGTTATGTGTCGAGTGTAGACAACAGGTTATGTGTCGAGTGTAGACAACAGGTTATGTGTCGAGTGTAGACAACAGGTTATGTGTCGAGTGTAGACAACAAGTTATATGTTGAGTGAAGACAACATGTTATGTTGCAATACTGCAATACTGTCTCAATAATTATTTGCGAATACCATAAGTAGTTGTTTGTACCAGGCGTTCCATCAAGCCAATATCTTTTCCCAACAACTCAAGGCGAGTCTGCATGCCGGAAATCTGTTTGCGATCCTTTAGGCTGTACCCATATCATGTGACATTTCTGTTCTATTTCATCAATAGATTCTCTCACTAACCCAAGCCTCACAGCTTTCATGACTAACAGTTTAACAAGATTTGTCTTAATTTTGACAGTCTGGACAATACTATCAAATGTCCGTTGTGTATCTGTTGCTGGCCTTTGGAATATCATCTCCATCAAACAGAACAGATTGATCTAATTTCCTAGTTACAAGTTCATTGACTTTCAGATCCGGCTGAGTAGACAATTTATCCTTCAGTCCTATGATGTTGTCAATATCTCCGCTGTTAAAGGCATACAGAAGATCAACCAGCCATTCTTTATCTGTGCCCTTCAAGGATGCCAAGTTATCAAGGGCAAGGAACTCACCAAAATTGTATACACCCTCGTCTATTACAGCTGCTAAACCAATATTAAAAGCTCTCTCTACCTGCTCGGTTTTTGGCTCGACTTTCAGATGTATGCAGCTTAAGAACCTAATGGCCACTTGATAGTACTGAGTATGATTGCTCATTAGTTTATGATAGTTGCTCGTTAGTTCATAGAAGCGTCCATGTACTGTGGTTACTCCATCTATATCATTTAAAATCTTCTCTCACTCTTCCATTAGGGTCTTCACTGGAGGGAATTATTTATTCCGGAGATAGATTTTACCTATTGTAGTCATACACAAAACATTTGACTTCTTCACTGGCTTTAACTTTCTCTTTCATTTTCTCAAGAAATTATATGGCTTTTTATGGATCTGGTAATTGAACAACATAAACACAAAGCTGAGCCAGAGAGATAGTTAAAAAATAAAAATAACAAAAACTTTGCCATTTTTAAAATTGGGAAAAATCACAAGGGAGACAACGCAAAGCGAATGTCTGAGCTGTCGGTTTAAGTAAATTTTAGAAATATATATTAAAAAATAAATTAGTCACAATATGAATTATCTGACAAAGCTATTTATATGTTTTAGAAAATATTAAAAATTAGTAGTTGCCCTAATATGCATTAAAATATCTCATGCTATATTATTTGAAAACAGAGACTTCAATGAATACATTTTTTTTAAAGACAAGCAATTTATTCAGCTGATTTGACGTTCTTTATCTTGTTCTTGTTCCAAAATAAATATAGTATTTTACATACAGAATTGAGCTTTATATATTAGAAAATGGCCGCCGTAGCATGTGTATGAAAATAGTGCTCCGTATATTTCCATTTTAATGTGTTATTTGTGACACTTTTGTGTTTTCTTTATTTCAAAATTTGGATTTTAAATGACAGTGATTGAATCGAGATACCCTTGTTATCTTAATTTAGTCTGCGTGTTTTTATGTCTGCCTGTGGACTTCATTTGTAAGTAAATTTTCATACTAAACAAAACAATTGAAACTTGTTGAGTGTATTTTGGTCCTGGTGGGGCCAAAACACAAAAACAAAGAATGGATGAAGATAACTTATTCTTTGACGTCTGCATACCCGGATTCAAACTCTTCTTCCACGAACCAAATACGGTAGAAATTATAATCCTTCAAGGCCGATGGCTGACCACAATTACAAATGCCGAGTTTCTAACTCAATTTGCCAACATAATAGGCTGCCAGGAGTTCAAAAGGGTCTACAACTATGGAGAAGTAAATATCTGGTATGCCACACTGGGTTCAAGGAAAATTTACGAGTCTGATGCTCACTGAATTCTACGAGCCAAAGACACTAACCAATGTAAGGACGCAGAGGTTATTTAGAGTAAGCGTCACTCACGTCGACAAAAAGAACTGTGTTAAATGTAAACTGAGATGCGTTCCCCCTCACATTAGTAAGGCTGAACTGGAAACAGCCCTTCAGGGCCTATGTGAAGAGGGGACCACCCCAAACATCAAGACCAAAGACCGAGGGAACAACTATAAATTCATAATTAAGCCCAAAATGGACAAAGAGAAAAAAAACATCACGTTATAAGATTTAAAGATGCTGAAGGGGCGGCACAGGTGGCAGTGATCCACCTCTCAGAGAGAAGGATGTTGTGCCCCAACTGTAAAACAGATAGGCACTACCACACCATGTGTAACCAACTTTACGCCCGGTTCATGGAAGGGATTCAAAAGAAAGACGGGAGGTATAATGTAATAAAGCCTTGGGGGGGGGGGGGGGACGAAAAGGCAGCTCAACGACAACAACTACATGAAGATAATCGAATAGTATAACTATAGGACTATCCCAATCCACTTTAGAAGCTATTAACTTTTTCTTTCTGTATCGACATCAGCTGTTCAGGATATGTCTGTCATTAACCAAGCAGGCCTCAACACGGCAAACTCCGACTAACTGGCTTAAGTATTGGTTTAAGTACGGTGTATCGGTCGCTTCTGTCCTTCAGTTCTCACCGGGCTTATCTTCCACCCCACTGAACGCAGGGGAAATTCGTACCCCACCGTCCTGTACCTGACTCAACAGTAGGAAGCTAATAACTAAAAAACTGCGTCACTCAGGTCAAATTAATGATTACTGACAGATAGGGACATGCATTCTGAATAAAATAACATACTCCATTTAACGATATTGGAAAAAGTCAGCACTTGGGAACTGGCAAGCATTGTACAGCTGTGGTGCTGGGTTTGGTGCCCAAGCGGCTGTCAGCTGTCCAAATACTCTCTACTCCCACATATTCTCATTCGCTGTTTAGTGTTTTTATTATGTTTACAGTTCTGTTTCTTTACAGTATAATATTTGTTATGGGTTTTGAAAATAAAATAATACAATAATTTCTAATACTTATGCATGGAACTCGAGGGCCGCCACTTAGAATCAAAAGATCTGCATGCGACCCCTGGCTTATATGAACGTATTACTTTTTTTTTTTTTTTTTTTTTTTTTTTTTTTTTTTTTTTTTTTTTTTTAACTATTTAATTAAATTTTCCGATAGTATTAAACGTTAAAATAATTAAATTACATTGCTTGTCTTATAAAAATGTATACATTAAAGTCACTGTTTTCAAGTTTTAAAACCTGAGAGAGTTTAAATGCATTTTAGCGTGACTACTAATTTTGTTAATATTTTCTAAAATTTTATCGTAATTTGCTTAATAATTTCTTCTATGACTTTTTTTTTTTAAATAACTATTTTTAAAATTGACTAAAACCGAAAGTTTAGTAGTTTGCTTTGCGTTGCCTCCCTTGTAATTTTTCCCATATAAGATATGTATTTAAGTTTTTAAAAAAAAAACACATTTTGTTCCAGATAGTATCTTTACTGATTTAGTACTCTAACCAATACAGTATGAAATATTAATTGTAATGGTATAACTGTAAAATATATGTATAACGTTTAAATAGCGTTATCATTATTATTTTTTTAAAAACTTTAACACCGCAACGCTTAAGAAGGAGTTTGTCGCAAAATACGTTTTTGTAAAACGACTTTGTACCCGGGCGCCGGGAAGGGTCGCTAGATAGTGTGACGTCACCAATTTGCATTATAAAAAACGAATTTTAGCCGTTATTTCGCGTTTAAAAAATGTTTTAATAAATTGTAAAAAGATATGGGAAAAAGATCGCTGTTTTAAGGAAAATTCAACAGCAATGTTAAGGGGTTGGGGTTGTAGGCTGATATGTGACGTCATTTTAGGGGGGGGGGTCAACTTGTTAGGGCGTTGACTACAATTTCAGCCTGCTTTTCTTTTTGGATTTGCTTCCATAGCCTTTGTCCATCCAAGAACAAACTACAAGGCAGCAGTGGCTTGATTTTGGAGTTGTCTCTCCTAGAAGAGTTGCTTTCCATAGCAATCGAGCATCATCTGTCTTGGGGTTCGAACTCGAGCCTTTTCGTTTTAACAAACAACCATAAGCTTTACTTACACATTTTAGACATGTCGTCCTACATCCCTTTTTTTAGTTTTAAAAATAAAATAATTTGATCATTATTTGCTCATCGGACTGGAGAGCCGCATCTTGACATCAAAAGAGCCACATGCTACTCGCGAGCAGTTGGTTGCCGACCCCTGCCATGGGGTTGGGGGGGGGGGGGAGTTATTGGCTGAGAATAATAATTATAGCTTATATCAGGGGGTCGGCAGCCTTTTGAGCCGGAAGAGCCAATTTTCAAATGTTCCCAGTTTTTAAAGAGCCACTAACATTTTTGTTTCAATATTTTGGCATGTGATTAGGATAAAATGTATACATTTGATTTTTTATTTGAAATAAATATTTTTAAATATAGGATTATCCCAATCCACTTTACAAGACAATATTTTTTTTTTCTTTCTTTACGGACACCACCAGCTCAGGCTCCCTAGCCAGGCAGCCCTGAACACGACAAACTCCGACTAACTGGCTTGGGTATCGGTGTGATTACCGTGTATCGGTCGCTTCTGTCATTTGGTTCTCACCAGGCCTATCTTCCACCTCACGGACTGCAGGGTAAAGTCGTATCCCACCGTCCAGTACCCTTCTCAGCCGTCAGAAGTTCATAACCAAAAAAAAACTGCGTCATATTAATGAATACTGACAGGTAGGGAGATGCATTCCCTATAAATAACATTCCCCATTTAACCATATTCTAAAAAGTCGGCACTTGGGCAGTGGCAAGCAATGAATTGTTACCACGGGGCTAGTAACTGCACAACTGTGGGACTGAACCTAGTTCCCAAGAGGTTGCCAGCTGTCCATATACTTTCTACCTCACCTATTCTCACTGTTCTCTGTGACGTGTTTTGTTTCTTTATATTTTAATGCGTTTTGAAAATAAGATAATTTGATTATAAGGATTAGTGCATGGAACTGGAGAGCCGAATCTTGACCTCCAAAGAGCCGCATGCGGCTCGCGAGCCGCAGGTTGCCGACCCCTAGCTTATATGAATTTATATAAATTAAGTTAAACTATTTTTGTTGTGGCAAACAGGACAACAGCACTGATCGATGATAAAGCTGAAAAATTGATTGTCTTAGAAAAATGTATACATTAAAGTCACTGTTTTTAAATTTTATAACCTGAGAGATTTAAAAAAAATAAAATTAGCGTGACTAATAATTTTTAACTATTTTCTAAAACACTTACTTAGCTTTGTCTCATAGCATGTACAACGACTATTTTAAAAATATACATTTTTAAAATTTACTAAAACCAACAGCTCAGTAGTTTGCTTTGCGTTGTCTCCCTTGTACTTTTTTTTCCCATATAAAACATGGCAAAGGTCTTTGGCAGATATGAATTTAAATTTAAAAAAAACATGGTTCCAGACAGAATCTTTACTGATTTAGAACTCTATCAAATATAGTATGAAATATGTATTGACATGGTATAACTGTACAATATGTGTATAACGTTTAAATAGCGCTATTAATTATTTTTTTTAACCGTGAAACACCGCAACGCTTAAAAAGGAGTTTGTCGCAAATACGTTTTGGCAAAACGGCAATCAGGCAAACATCTTTCGGCCAAATGAGATTCGTAAATGTTTTATTGATAATTTGTCATAAGCCGATTGAGAAGAAAATTATCTCAGGTTAGGGGTGTCCATAAATGAC